CAAAAACAAAGAATTGTCAATGAAAAGTAAACCGTCGTATAAATTTAATGTAAAAGTTAAATGATTTGGCTTATTGTTGTTATTGTATTTAACTAATTTCTGTATAAATTCGGTTTCAATATGAATGAATAAACCCACAAGTGAGTTCCCAGTGGTCTATCGGAAAAAAAACTAGTCCTCCGAACTCGACAAATATGTCTTCAATAAGCATACTATTTTTTGTTTGATTGCCGAAGCTTTTAGATTCATCTGTTGCAAGTTACAGTGCACATACCTATGCGCCCGTCCCTCAGCATATGATTTGGCCAGGCATTTTCCGAGTGAAAATCGCGAAACTATCCGTTTTTACGCAATCTGGGAAGTCCGAATTACTAAACAAAGTACAGGACGAAGAAGCTAAGTAAAATCGTATTCAACTATAAAAAGAATGCTTAATGGACAATGTGCTAGTATGAGGGGGAAATTCTTCTCCTCTGGGGTTCTCCACACGTGTCAGGGAGGAATCTCTGTCTCTATATCTCGTACCCTTGAGGTACGGGGTCGGGAAAGTCACTTAAACTTTACAGTCAAATAGACGCACACAACAAAATACGTTTCAACTCTCGTCTTTAGTCGGCCAGTCGAGCACTTTATAAGACACAGCGCCTTGGGGAAAAGTCCCCAAGACTATCGCAAGGCTGACCCAAGACTCTCTTAGACTGCGTCTGTCGTGGTGTACTCGACAAGACCAACTAAAAAATCTTTATTCATTTTCAAAACCTTAACCAATTACAAAGAAGTATAACGACTCTAGGGCGTAACCTTCAATCATAAAGTCAATCTCACTAAGTACTGAACACGTCATATCTTTTGATTAATCGTTCACTATATTAATAACTGCGAATACCAACTGTCAGAAATAGTAGTCCGGATAGCGACGGCTATATCGTAATTAGTTCCAAATCACTGAACCAAGTTCCGTTCAGAACCTCGCATGAGCCTAAATGATGACAGATATAACACAGGCATTCACTAGTAATCAGCTAAATAAGTCGATCAACAGATACGTGCAAACAAATTCATCACACTAGCAAGGACGGCAAGCTACTGTGTGGGGGCTAGGAACGATTTTGGTACTTGACAAGATTGAATTGTTTTTTTGTAATATCATTTCCTGCTGATTTTGTAAGAGCTAGCTACCAAGTAAGTATGGGTACACATTTCCGGACAACTGTGTAATTCTGCTACTTGTGTTCCAGATAATTTTGTGAATAGACAGGGCAGGCTTTAAACATTGAATTGATACTTTGTGCCCTGAATCATAAAGTTTATCGATCGGCGACATTCAAGGTGAATCAGTACATGCAGATACGTGTGAGCATTTTAGATCTAACGACGCTAGATCATCACCTCAATACACGTAGGCTGAAACTTAGTGGGTGTGGAAAGACAATAGGTCTCTTACACCTATAGTGTCACACTTGCCTTCAGCAACATGAATGTTGCTGGTAGTGTATTGAAGACGGTTCAATCATCAAACTAAATCTAACTAAATAAATAAATAAAAAACGTAAATTCGTAGACATGTAAGTGTAAAATGTAATCAGCTATTTTACTCGTCCGGATTTGTACAAGATCTTATTTTTTTGTAGCG